ATTTTGTTGCTTTATGTGAATGATATTCTAAGAGCAAGCAACAATGTCGAAGATGTAATGAGGGTGAAGGTTAAACTCAATAAGGAGTTCGACATGAAGGATCTTGGAGCTGTGTCAAGGATTCTTGGGATTGACATCCGAAGAGATAGAAAGCATTCGAAATTATGCTTATCTCAAGAGGCATACCTACGAAAGATTCTCGAAAAGTATGGTATGTCGAATTCAAAGTCTGTTGTGACTCTGGCAAACCCTCAATTCAAGATGAGTATAGATCAATGTCCCATTACTGATGTTGAAAGAGCTTATATGAATAGCATACCATATGCTAATGTAGTGGGTTCTTTGATGTATGTTATGGTCTTAACTAGACCCGGCATAGCATATGCAGTAAGTCTTGTAAGCAGGTAGATGGCGAATCCTAGAAAGGCTCACTGACAAGCATTGAAGTGGTTTCTAAGGTACATAAATGAGAATCTGAATAGAGTCATAATTTATGGTGGAGCCTTGGGTGAAGATAGTAAAGCAGCAATTGAAGGATATGTCGACTCTGATTATGCAGGTTGTATGGATTCTAGAAAATCTATTTCTAAATATGTGTTCACTATGTTTGGGACAACAATCAGTTGGAAAGCTACACTTCAGAAGGTCGTTGCCTTATCAACCACTGAAACGGAATATATCGCTCTAACTAAAACTATGAAAGAAGCATTGTGGTTTGAAGGTTTTGCAAATGAGCTGAAATTTCAAGGTCGAGTTATCACTGTTAAATGTGATAGTCAAAGTGCAATACACCTGTAGAAGAATTTAGCCTATCATAAGTGAGCCAAGTGTATTGATGTGAGGTTGCATTTCGTCAGAGGGGTAATCGAACGTGGAGAAGTCTAAGTGCTGAAGGTTTCGACAGATCATAATGCTGCTGATATGATCACCAAGACGTTGCCCAGTTGCATGTTTTTCCACTGTATACAGTTGATAAAGCTGCATGAAGAAAGTTAGTTTCTTAATGTTATAAAGTTAGATTCAAGGTGGAGATTTGTGAGATATTGAATCGAACTCTAGTATGATCGAAGTCTGTTTGCGAATAATTCGTGTTGCAGTCGAAGTGTGTTCTAACATGGATTAGTCAATATTGCTAGCTTTGTTAGCATATTGAATTGGGTCTTGCTTGTAAGCCCAATTATTTAAGTTAGCTTGTAATGGATAATTGTTAAAAAGCTCATTAGGTTAGTGTGCTAGTTTTCTTATAAATAGCATGCTAGTCTTTTATCTTGTATAAGAAAAAATAGGAAGATAAAATCCTAATTCAAGAGAGAGAGGTTATTTGTTATTCTTTTATACCTGTAGTCTTGTTTGATAGAGAAAGGAAAGAATAACAGTTTATAATCAATCCTTGTTGTTTTACCTTGTTTTTTTTGTTAATCCTAATCCTTGTGTGTTTCTTAATTATAAAGAAACTGTTTATATATTTTTTAAGACATCTTATTCACAACAAGTAAAACTAAAAAAAATTAAGAGGTCCTTGTATTGTTAGGATGGTGTTCTTGTATTCTAATCGAATCTTCGGATCGTTGTATTTTCTATAATTTTTTTAAAATTTAATAAAATTCTTTTATTCCAAAAAAAAATTAAAAGGAGGTGGCAGGTTACCTCTTCATAATTGAAGTCACAGTAGCCTTGTCTATCACAAATCTAATTGAAGTCTAATTTTACCTAACTTTTCAAACTTCTTTATAAAGTCTCTAACAACTTCAACTTTAATGTGCAGTTTATTAGTAGGAATCACTTCAACTTTCTAAACATAGTTTATTTATAATAGTAGCTTCTCCAATATGAAATTTTTAACTTCACGCCTCTTAGAAACATAATAATTGAATTCAAAAGAATGATCAATTTTATTTAAGATTATATAGCAGAAACGATAATGTTGGGTTAGAATATTGAATATGTTGAAAGCATAGACGGATCTAAACTAGAAATGATAATATTATAACTAAAAATAATAATACTTGAGAAACGGTTAGAATAACACATACATTAAAAAAAATGGTGAAAAATAAACTAAAATAATCTAAACATACAAAGAAATGATTTGTAATATATTATAAGAAAAGTATAGAGAAGTTAAACAATTAAAAATAGATAAAGACTTAAAAAACTATTAAAGACATTATCAAGATTTATCTAAACATTAACTAATTAAATAGAAACATAACCTCAAATAAAATATTTGTTTGTTCTAAATAGAATAAGATTTAATTGTTGTTTTTGAAGAAAATATAAGAGAAGAGAAGAGAAATTTGTTATGCTTTCTATTTCTCTATTTATATATTTCTCAAACTAAAAATGAACTTCCTAACTGATCTGATCAGAAGGAGAACAAGGACTTGTCACACGTCGTTAATCTGGTGCCTGTTCACCGGTGTTGAAAAGGAGATAGGGATATACCTGCAAGACACTCCGATGCCGAAGTAAGAGTTTGGACAGAGCGACAGCAAATACAGAAAAAAGGTAAGAAGAGAATACCTGACCCTCTTGTGAAAGAGGGTATTTATAGAGAGACCCCAACGCAGGGTCAACGGTCATTTGAGTTGGGCTGAATGGCCAGACCCAACCCAAGTGACTGCTAGGGCTTATGTGACGTAGTGAAGACCGGAACGTGGTCTTCGCCCTAGTTCAACTGCTCTGTGGACTCCGGAAAGTGGGTTGACCTGCTCTTTCAGAAGTGTGCAGTTGGTTGATGATATGTACCCGCGGAGGGGAGCATGTGGAGAACGTGTGAAGGACACGTTGTTCTACTCGACAAGGGAGAAGGTTCTGCCCGCAGAGGGGTCATTGCCTGCCCGACGGAAGATATGTGCTCGACGGCTGTAGCCCAAACTGAATTGGACTTGACAGAACACCATTGGGCTGGGCCTGCCCAGTCAAGCCGGGGCCCAGACCAAAACACTAACCAACACTCTAGATTCTATATATATATATATATATATATATATATATATATATATATATATATATATATATATATATATATATATATATATATATATATATATATATATATATATATATATATATATATATATATATATATATATATATATATATATATATATATATATATATATATATATATATATATATATATATATATATATATATATATATATATATATATATATATATATATATATATATATATATATATATATATATATATATATCCTAAAGAGCTTTCTAAACAAGAGTGTGCTCTTAAAAAAAAGAAAAGATAAAGAAAAAAAAAAGAATAACATGCACATTATGTTTGCATGATTTTTCTACTCGCAACTTTTCTGTCTCAAAATCAGAATTTAATATTAAGGATCCAATCCAACTATTTCATCACCCGCAATTAGGGCTGGAAATGAGTCGAGTCGAGTCGAACTCACCTCAGCTCGGCTCGACTCATTAAGAATTGTTCGAATTCGAGTTCGAGTTCGAGTTTGACACGAACTTTTTTTTAAGCTCAAACTCGACTCGTTATAAGTTCACGAACAGTTCGGTTCGACTCGTTAGGTTCATCTCATTAGGTTCATCTCACATGGTTCACGAACTTAAAAACTATTTTTTTAAATATATATAATTTTTGGTATATTTTACATTTTAAATAAATATATATTTTTTAAATAAAATATTAAAATAAAATAAAAGTTATCATATTGAAATTTAACTTTATCTTTGAAATCTACTAATTCAAAACCTACACAACTTTCAAGAGACACATTTGAGAGTCTAATTCAAAACTACTAAATTGAAGATTAAATTTGTCTAAGATTTGAAGTAAATATTTAAACCTAATCTTAAAGATAGTATAATTCTTTTCATATGTAACCGAGTTGACTCATGAACCTAACGAGTCGAACTATGTATAGTTCAAGTTCAGCTCATTTAGTTAACGAACTTAATTTTTCGCTCATACTCAACTCATTTGGTTCATGAACCTAGTTCATCGATTTAATTGTCGAGTCGAATTCCGAACTATCTTCGAGTTGGTTTGGTTCATTGCCAGCCCTACCCGCAATGAACAATTTTTCTTTCCTTCCTATTTATGCCAATATTAACATCAGAGTAGAATTGAAAATGAGTTAAATCAAACTCATCTTAATTCAATTTGATTCGATAAAATTTTATCTCAAAATTTGATTCAACTCATGAACATTAAATTTACCTTATTTCTTCACAAATTTTAAAATCATTTTTAAATTTTTTTTTTATATACTTGACATTTTAAACTGATTTTTTTAAAAGTAAATTTTTTAAAAGTAAATGTTAAAATTTATCTGTCTCAAAAATCTACAACCTCAAAAACTACACAACATTCAAGAAATCTATTTGAAAATTGTCAAATTAGCCATAACTCAAATTCAACTCATTTAATTAATAAATTTAATATTTTTTATCATTGGTTCAGAAACAAATTAATTTATCATATTCAACTCATTGGTTCAGGAACTTAATATTTTTTTATCATATTCGACTCATTGGTTCAAGAACAAAAATCAACTATTTATTTCTCAAATCAAGTTTCGAACTATGTTCGAATTGATTCTGCAAATTGTCAGCCTACATGAAAGCAAATTAAAAAGGACAGAGATGCAATCCAATTTATACAGTGAGAAAGTAGCCAAAGAATATTTTTTATTAATACATCATCTAGCTGGTGGTATCTCCTATCAGTTGCAACATCAAAACCTCATTCCTTAATTACAATCATGAAGAATAACCAAGAAAGAGAGGCAGCGATTTCTGTATATTTTCAGTCATGAGGAGACGCCCATTCAAAAATGACAAATGTATGATCAGAAACTGGCATCGATTTAGGCTCAAAATCACTTACAAAATTAAAATGCTAACTTGACCACATCAAATGTGTATGATATGAACCTTGCATTCAGCCCTCCCCATCGAAATAAATGGCAACCAACATCATCATCACCAGTTGAAGTTCATTCAGAGTTCACTTAACTGCTGATCTCGTTGTCCATTTTCATTCTCTTTGAACTTCGCATCCCTGCCACAGGATTACCTTGTTGCTGAAATGATGCATCATGCTGAAAGGTACAGTTAGTTCCATTGCGACATCCTCTGGAACTATTGAAAAAGATACAAGGCTTCATTATCTTTGGTTTTGACCCCTTTGCTCTAAAATTGTGTACTGACTCAATGTTTGTTAATGGATGCTGGTTCTGACGATTACCGGAGGAATATGGAAGTGCTTCTTGTTGATCTCCTCCATGTTGTTGAATCAAGCTCTTATAGTAGTTTACATCTTTTGTTGAAGGGGGATCAACAGGAGTAGCAGCAATAGCTGAACTCATTACAGGCCTAGAATGCCATTGAGTAGGAATATTTGCCGCCATAGGACCACCATTTGTGTGAGTATAGAAAGAAGTGGATAAAAAAGGATTTGATGAGGTTGTAGTGGTTTCAACTTGATTAACACGATTAGTAGGATGTGAAAAAACTCCGGAAGATGATCCCATGTTTTGTACATACTGTGCATTATTTTGAACTCCATAATCTCTAACTAACTTCTCAATCACTTCAGGATTGTTGAGAATGTTATTCAGTAATTCACGGTCAATCAAATTACCGTGTTCGCTGCTCTTTACTATGCTTGTTAAAGCGACAGATGCAGCAGCGACATCAGACATACTCGTAGCAGAGTTTGAATTCTCGAATATACCAGGAGATAACACATGAGACTGTGAAACATCATATTGTTTCAATGAATGTGATAACATTTCTGCTGTCACATCCCCGTCTTCAACGGGCGTAATTGGGATCACAACAGTGTGATCATCCATGTAATGAAAATCTTCAACGTTCAGTGCAACAGAAGGACTGCATCCAAGGAAAAAAACACTCTTTTATTACAAGGATTGTGGAAACAAAAAAATAGAAAAGAAAATCAAACAAAGCAAGAGAAGACTCGAACTTTGGAGGAATGGAAGATATCCGTGGATATATAGCCTCAAGGACTCTCATCTCCCTGTGAGGTTGATCAACTATCTCTTTGCTTTCTTCCCCAGCCACCACTAGCCATGTGAGATCTAGCTCAATCTGACAGAGCCACATTTACAAAGAATTGAGAATTACATATTAAAAGCAAAGTCACAATATCACCTTCTTTTTCCTTTATTTCTTCCAAACATATTGAAATATAAATAATACTGAAAATTACTACAGATATTGTTTAAATATAACTGAAAACCTACCTTAGGTGGATTAACCCAGCTAATAACTGGTATTTGGGACAGCTTAATGTTAAACTGACTTGAAGCACAAGTTCCTTCAAATCCAGGAGGCAAAATATCATCAGAACCAGCTTCTCCTTGATGCAACACGGATGATATCTTTGCTTGGAGGTGATCTTGAGAGTTTAAGCCAACTTGTGAAGGAGATTCCTCAGATAAGAATAACCTAACCTGATCAACAAAAAGGAAACAATCTTTTGTCATTTAGCATTCTTATACTATATATTGTATAATAACATCTAGGCAACATCATCTTAAACGACTAATTATTGATTCTGTTCAGTCAATACATCGTCAAGTGCATGCAAGGTGATTACTAATTTGCAAACACTTGAAATATAGAGAAACACGGGATTATTGATAACAAACCCATAAATAACAAAGAAGAATTAAAAATAACTTATAAAATATGACAATGAAAGATGGTGCATAAAATGAACTTGCATACATTAGCACATTTGTGATAGAGTTCATACAAGCACAATATTTGATGATAGAATATTAACTGTCTTCACTAGAATACAACACAATGAAACTTGGCTGGATAAATTAGCACATTTTGGTCGAACAATAAATACAAAACCATTCAGACATCAGAGAGATTTCATATCATTTAACAAACTCCTTCTTAAGCAAATTATTATGGGCAATCAGAATAAAGGACTTGTGATACTGAATTTTCCATCCATTGGACTCTTATTTTAGATACTTGGAACGCCAAAACCAATATCTTCTATTCAGTTTTGTTTTACGATTTTTCCAGCCTAGGGGAGACAGTGATATGATATCTCATTAATTTGCCCATAAGAGGGTCTGCCCTTCTCTCTCTCTATGACTCTGCATTGAAACTGGGGCAACACCAAGTTACGATCGAGACTAGAAGTGAAAACAGAATCTTAAATCCATATTGCAAACTGTTTCAAAATGCTGCCATCAGATCCCAAGACCTCCACCTCTTCATCCCAGTGTTAGACTACAAAGACCGCTTACAACTTCTATTCAGTCACACTTTGATAGGTGTTGTCTGAAGTAAATTAACAGGCTGGCCAACCGCAAACTTTTATCACCTTTATCTCCGATACTTCTGCATGCACCAACCGTACATCTCCAAAAATACCACACTAACTTGGCCCTTCCATGTTGGAAGTGGCTGAGATCTTGCACTTAGTTTCCTTTCAAACAGAAAGATAACATAATTTTAGAAAGACAACATAGACTCCTAAGCTGAAAAACTCCACCAAAACTCTTTCGACACCAAAAAATCCTGACTAATAGTAATAGCAGCGAAAACAAAAGGTCACGTGATTTTATTAATTCACATCAAAGACACACTAGCAACCGCACTAACATCAATATAAAATGAGCAACAAAATTCTTATTGAACAAAACAAAAGAAAGAAGCAAAAACTTCAGATATTCATTCAGGTTAATGCAGAGTCTAAAAGAGGAAAAACTAACAGCATAAAAAACTCTTCAAAAAATGCAACTAAGTTGGACAGGGAAATACGTGACTTTAACAATAAGTAATTACTTGAATAGAAAAGATAAGAAGAATCAATCGATCCACATATATAGTCATAAAGCATAAGCAGTCTAGTTAACAACGAGGAAGAACACACCAAGAAGTAATGGAAAACACCAACAAAGATCACCACTTTTTAGTTTCCAATGATAAAATACTAACAAAATGACGGTTACAAGTTTCAAAGTAACTTTCTTGAATGGAAACTCGAGCGTTGAGATAAGATTAAGATGAGCATTATAAACTAAATTGAAAAATTAACATTAATGGTTAACAAACTAAATTTATACAAGGCCACATTTTTGCATGGTGAAGATTTTAGAGTCAAGGCAAAACTAATTCAATAATTAACAAACATATAGTGTGTTTGGCGCTGCACTGACATGGGTATGCATTGTAACTCATACAAACGATATACCAAATAACAATAATAACCTGCTAAACCATTCAAGATCTAACCCACAAAATTTTCATTTTCCACCACCACCAATTACATGTCAAGCACAAAACATGATTGTAATGTACAGAATAATTGCAATAACATTTTGGAAAGAGTAACATCATCAAAGTCCATCATCTAAAAATTCCAATTCAAAAATCAAAAACAAAAAAATTCAATAGGAAACATATATGATAAAAATAATAGTATAACTCACATAATCTACCAAAGATTACACAGGATTATCAAATTCCAAAAGGAATTCATCACCAATCCCAAATATATATCTTAACCTTATTATTTCATTTTGCTTACTACTTTTCTTCTGCTGTTTTGTTTTTCTTTTTCATCATCATTCAAAAATTATCAATTTTTACTTCAAACTTCATCCAATTAAAGCCACTCCATCTCTTATCAACACTAAACTGCATATTTACTACATATTTAATTGATTTTTTTCAATTGAGTTAAAACCCTCAATTCACAAATCACATGCAAACCCTTGAAATTCCGATCAGATTGCAACGATGATGGATGAAGCATCAACCATAGCATGGTCCTCAAAATCACAGACACAAAAATTAGGGTTTTGATTGTGAAGCGGTTACTGGATGAAATCGAACGAATCGATCGATTTGGATACGGCAACTTGAAGATAATTTTTACCTGACAAAGATTCAAATCCGAAGCCCATGAAACTCGCTTCGATTTTTGCAATCCACGCATATTTTTGCACCCGAAATTTTATACAGTCGCCAAAAGATGAACCAACGTTTCGAAATATGTTACGGAAGGTAGAGGACCAGAGTAAACTGTAGTCCAGTGTTATACAAACTGAACCGAGAGGTTAAACCGGTTTGGTTCGAAATCGGAAACGTGGCCGGTCCGGTTGGGTGTCAGATCGGATATGTTGTCGATGGGCTTGGGCCTAACGTTTTGGGAATAATAGCTCAACTTCTACTGTAGATTTCACTAGTAATTGCATACACTATGTTTCTTCATAGATATATTTTGTTGGAGTTAAACATATTTGAGGCTATACATTTATCGGTTGGATCAGTAATATGAACAAAGCAATCTCACTTCATTAGCTTGCAAAATACTCATACAATGTATTTATATGGATAAGTAAGTGTATGTAGTAAGGTAGCATATAACATATAACATAAACTTCTAACTAACTCTTAACCATGTAATTAACTTAACTAACTTTGAGATAAGTTAGTTATGAGTATAATAATTATAACTAATTTCAGCTATTAATATCATTGTGTTTTATTCCTCTATAAGTTTGAGGATATATATTAAGCATCTTTAACTTGGATGAAAGAATGTGAAATGATTGAGGAGGTAAGCCTTGAGGAGGTAGAGGCTTAATGAAAAAAGAAGAAGATACAAGTAGGTCTTTAGAGGACATGAGCAATAACTTGAATACATAGCTTGAAATTTTTCTCTGGCTATATGGGAATCAATCTTCAAGTGTTTTATAAGTTCACGGAACATGTGATTAGCTGTTATGTGGATGACATTGGGGTTATCACAATATAGAACATGAATTTTGGAGCAAGGAGAACCAAGAAAGTATGCATTAGAGAAAAGATCTAAGCAATACTTTCGTGGACATAAGGAAATTTCGTGCTTGGAATAGACCACTTTGAGGTTTAGGTAATACTTTAGTTGGCCCAAGTTTTTTATTTGGAAATTGCAGTGGATAAATGTTTTGATCATGTCAAATTCATTCACGGAGTTTCTTACAATAATGATATCATCTACATATACCAATAGAAAAATAAATGACACGTGAGTTTTTTTGATGAATAAGGAATGATTTGCATTTGCTTGAAGGTAATTTTGTGCAAGAAGAATTTGTGTGACTTTCTCATACCAGTCGTCCATCATAACCAACTTCACATGTCTGAATCCTTCAACCATAATCAACATTTTTATTGGTTGTAAGGATAGCTCTAACCATACAGACTACAATGAGTTAGGTAACTAGTGAATATGTATCAAAGTAACCCAAACCTTCAATTTGATTGTATCCTTTTGAAGTTAATCGTGTTTGAATCTTTTCACTTATTTATCAACATGGAATTAGATTTTGTATATCTATCTGCAGTTAATTGGCTTGATTTGAGGTTTCAAATCTACAGTCTCCCATGTACTTGTTCTTTCAAGAGCTAAAAGTTTAACTTGTATTACTTGATTCAAACATTCATACTTATTAGTTTCGACATATATCTTTGGTTCATTCAAAGTGTTAAGAGACATGACATTATGACTATGTGAGATAGACAAGTTTGAATAATACTTGTACTAAGAGGTAGGATAATTCATACTTGAAGATGAGTGATTTGGAATATCATTGAATGAATTGCATATGTATCCTTTGAGATACGATGAATGGTATTTGATTACAGTTGAATGTTTTATTGTTTGATTATGGTTGACAGATTCAGGTGTATGAAGTTGGTTATGTTGCACAAATTGTAATAGTATGTCAATATCATCAAAGTTTATAGGTTTAGGATTGATTACATGTAAGGGAGTGATGGATGTAATGGTATTTAGAGTATGTGCTGGCGAGGAGTTGGAAAATTCAAAGTTTTGTTCATAACGTGTTTATATGGCAATGGTTGGATAAATTTTCCAATTATTGGTGGGAGACGTATTGCTTGTATGAAAATGGATTAAGTGTTTATGGAGTGAGACATTTCTTGATATGAATGACTCCTTTAAAAGAATATGAAGTAAATCATATCCTTTGAGACCTGCCTTGTACCCCCTCCCCCCCCCCCCCAAGAAAGCTATTTTCTAGCTTTTGCTTATAGTTTGGTTTTTGGGGATTGCATAGTTGATGCATAAACTAGGCATCAAAAAACCTTCAAGGAATTAAGGTCGGTTTCTTTTTCATATAATATAGTGTATAGTGATTTATTTTATAAGATGGGTGTGGTCACTCTATTGATGAGAAAAATGGCATGGTTAAGGGTATATGACCAATATTGTTTGGAAAGTTTGGACTGGTAGAGTAAAGCTCTTCTAAAATTTAAGATATGATGATGTTTCCTCTCTACTCTATCATTTTGCTATAGAGTTTTAACACATGATCTTTGGTGGTGAATACCTTTAGATGTGTAAAATAAAGGTAAAGAAAATTTAGGACCATTATCTGTCTTTGCAATCTTAAGAGTGACATTATGTTGATTTGCAATTAATTGGATGAATGATTAGACATGTGTAGAAATAATTTTGGCATATCACAAATCATCTATTGTCATGATTAATAGATGGATACAGTTTTGACATATCAGACAATTTATGATCAGAACGCTGTCCTAGTCTAAAATGACGAATAGATGTTTGAAGCATACCATGGTTTTGAAGAGTAATGTTTATGGCATTGACCAGTTTAAGGCCAGATAAAGTAGAAAGCATAGTCTAGTTTTGAGGTTGGATATCCATTAACAACTAATATAATCCATTCACTTTATTAGCCAAACAAATCATGATCAAGGACTTCGTATCTTGTAAATAACAACGATCAAGTTTGAATATAGGTCATTTATGGTATAAAGAGAAGGAGAAAAATGAACATTACTAGCATAAGTAAATTCGACTTAATTTCCATTTGGTAAGTGGACTCTAATGAGCCTAATGCGATAAAAGGACTCATACAAATGCAATGATATACGTATATGTTTAGCTCCAAGAAATGGCATTTATAAACCTGAATAGTTAAGCTTATTCAGTGTATGACTATTGTGACCATTATTGGAAGTGGAAATTATAACGCCCCAGATTGCTTTTAGGATTATCGACTGACCCCACAAACTAACATAAGTCTTCTCAACATGCATTGTCTTCACTCACACGTTTTCCGAGACTTTTTCCAGACGGTCACTCATCCAAATACTACTCCAAGTCAAGCACGCTTAACTATGGAGTTCTTATTTATTAGGCTACAAAAAAGAAGATGCATCTTATTGGTATATATAATACCAATCAATCCTTATAAACCTTCCTTTAACCATGCAGTCACATACCTACACATCCTCAGGATCCCTCTTATTCCAATGTGAATTTGATTTTTGCTTAGAATATGCCAAGAGTTGCTCATTGTAATGCCTTGTGCACCGATGACCACTCCCCACCCTAGTCAGCCTCGGGTGTTACACGCCCACCGGCTTCTGCTTGGTTCGTCCACTAACCAATTGTATTGGGAGAGGTATACTCTAATACCATTTATAACACCCTAGAGTGCTTTCAGGATTATCGAATGACCCTACAAACCAACACGAGTCATTCCAACATGTTGTGTCCTTAATCACACGCTTTCTGAGAAATTTCGTAGAAGGTTATTCGTCTGCACAATCAATCTTATTGGTATAGGTAGCTTCTTTTAAAATTAAAACCTTTTCTTAAAGGTAATTAGGAACCTTTTTTAAAAGTTGATTACAATATTTCTTTAAAAATATTAACCAAATGAACTTTTTCTCCAAAAATTAAAAATCTTTTTTAAAATAAATTAAAGTTTTTAATAAATTGCTAACCTTTTAAAACATAAAAATTAAAATTAATTTTCCTTTAATCCTAAATTTTTCTTTCTTAAAACTAAATTTCTCACCTAAAAAAATTTCTAAAATTCCTAACCTTTCCCGTTTAATTTTCATCTAACTTTCATTGTTTCTCCTTTTTGTCCTTGGTTACTAATTTCGCATTTTATCGTATTTTCATTTTTTTTTCGGTTGTAATTATGCGAGGTATCGTCGCAATTTATTATTCTTGCGAATTGTTTTTCATGGATGTAATTTATGCGAGGCCATGATCGCAGTTATTTTATTTTTTCGCATTTTTTTGGGACTTGTAATTTACGCGAGTGATCGTCGCGATGCTTCTTTTACCCGTTCTTTATCTTTCCGCACTTTAATTCTGCCGTATAATAATTTGCTATATCTTGCATGATTTTCCGTTAGAATCCCTTCCGAAGGATTAGGTCTAGCCGTTTGACCGCCGAGTCAATAACCTTAATCTTTGACCGTTTCAAAACCCTAATTAGCCTAGGTTTCCCGCAGTGGACAAAAACGCCCTTTACCCTAGCTTTAGGTCAAAGAGTCGCCGTACTCTGTTTAGGATTTCCCGCCGTGGAACATTTAGTCAATCCTAATTTAACCCTCATTTTCAATGACAAATTCAACGTTCCAACGTAGAAATAGGAGTTTTAAGACTCCACGTAAGCGTTTCCTTAAGAAATGCTTACTCCCCTTGAAACCTTGACCACAGTCAAGAAGTTTCTAACCTCCCTTTCAAGGGGAACTACGATTACTCTGATTCCATTCCCTATCTAGGATACGTATGCACAAGATGCGACGTCTTGCCGAGTAAACTTAGGACTAACCCTTAGGTCTCTTTAGGTCATTTTATCCCTTATTTCAATATATACATCAAATAGATAATAAAATAAAAATAAAAAGCATACAATAAACAAAACGTTCCTGTAGAGTACTACAGAAGTTTAGGGTGCTAGTACCTTCCCTAAGCTTAACCAACCCCTTACCTAGGTCTCTTCCCGCATTGTGTTTACAATGCAAAAATAGGTTTTCCCTCTTTTGACCTTTTCCTTCGGATAAATAAAAGAGCGGTTGTGAATCAAGAATTGTGATTCAAACTAATTAATAGTTTGATATCCTATTGCCACCGCAACACATAATAGATGTAAACAATTT